GAATATATATACATATATGTATATATACCTACATATAGATAGATAGATAAAGAGAGAGAGAGAGAGATGTCTACACACACACACACACACACATACATATATATACATATATATATATATAAATATATATATATATATATATATATATATATATATATATATATATATATATATATATAAAGACACACACACATAAACACTACACACACAAACAAACAAACAAACAAACAAACAAACAAACAAACAAACAAACAAACACACACACACACACACACACAGATGCTCAGAACAGAACTGGTGACCCCGAATAGAGACAAGCTGAGAAGAATATATATATATATATATATATATATATATATATATATATATACATATACATATATATACATATGTGTATATGTACGTATGTATGTATATAGAGAGAAAGATGCATGCATACATACATACAGACATGCACACATATATATGTATTTGTGTATATATACGTACGTGTATGTATATATGTTTATGTATGTATATACATACATACATACATACATACATTATATATATATATATATATATATATATATATATATATATATATATATATATATATATATATATATATATATATAAGTATATATATTATGAAAAGGAGGACCAGGACAGCAGAATACGTTTCCCCCGTGGAACATCTATCGTGGAAATAAGTATATATATGTACATATACGTACTCAGACCCGATCATTAAGGACTCACGCGTTTTTCACAGTTCCTCTGACCAGGCCTTTTCGTCCTCGCGCCGCTCCACTATAGTGTCTTTTTCCACTGAAGGTGTCTTAAAACATAATTATGGGTAGTTGTTGGCTCTCTTTTTTTTCTGGGTGAGGAGATTCTTATAAACAGACATGCCACCTTCGATTATATTTGAGAATTCTTGTGAAGCTCGCTGAAGTTCATTGGCCATTCTCATCATGGTTGCCAAATAATCAAGTGTTAGTCCATCCTCCTCGTCTTTAGCCACACTTGTGTCCTTTTCTTCCTCTTCTCCCCCATCCTCGCTTGGTGGTTTTGTCATCTCCGCCAGGTCTTAATCAGTCAGCAGTTATGAGTGGGCATCAAGAAGGACATTAATGTCATCAGCAGTCATATCATTAACGCCATCTCCCCCAAGCTGTTTACCCAGATTCACAGCGGTATCTACCGCAGTGATGGATCTCATCAAGAGAGCGTCCGGTAGGGTTGTGCACTGCCTCTGGTAACAGTTTTTTTTCCAGCAGGCATTTAATGTTTCAGGTTTCATCTCCTGAATGACCCTCTGGATATTTTGGAGACATGACATGACTTGACATGCAATGGTGCCAGTAGGCTTTTAATGAGAAATCTTGATGTAAGCTCATGGCCTCAACAAGATGTTGCAGGGTGTTGCGCGTATAAAGAGCCTTGGAAGCGCGGATGATGCCTTGGTCCATGGGCTGAATCAGCTATGTAGTGCTTGGTGGCAGAAATTCGATTTGCACACCGCCATACGACAGATCATCAGCGTGGCCTCCGGCGTTGTCTGCGAGCAGAAACACGTTAAATTCTTGTCCCTTTCCTCTCAAATAACGCTTGACCTCTGGAATGAAACACTGTTTGAACCAATCCACATTGAGCGCTATTTGTCATCCAAGCCTTTGAATTGTGCATCCAGTAAACAGGCGACGCATTCTTATTTTTGTTTCTTAGGGCTCTAGAATTTTTTTACCTATAGATAACCCCTGGTTTTATCATAAAGCCCGCAGCATTTCCACACATAGCTAGAGTCACACAATCTTTTTGGGCCTTAAATCCTAGGGCTTTGGCTTCATCCTGCATTATAAAGGTGCGAGAGGGCATTCTTTTCCAAAATATACCTTTTTCATCCATACTAAAAACTTGTTCAGGCTTATATCCCCCCTCCTCAATGATTGCTTTAAATTTGTTGTTCACGTATTCTTTTGCTCCAGCGGTGTCCTCAGAGGCGGCTTCTCCGTGCAGAGAAACACTTTTAAGTCCAAAGCGTTCCCGAAATTTGTCAAACCAGCCCTTGCTGGCATTAAATGGGCCTGGTACTGCGTGGACACCACTCGTTGATGACCCGAGCTTCGCATCTTCTTGCTCCTAGAGGTTATGAATGTCATCGCTCTCAGCATAGGTTTCATAAATTTTTTTTAGCTTTTGTGCAGATGATGTTGGTATCCAGCGTAACGTTCTTTTTCCTGCAGTTACTGATCCACAAAGCTAAAGCAGACTCCATCCTTACGATGGTCTTGTTGCGGGCAGTTACAACCCTTTTTTGCATCCTTGTTAAAACTTATTCCTGCTGTCGTCCTTATGTTATTTTTCTCCTTTATGTAACGAACTGAAAATTCATATATTCCGTAATGGCGCCCAACAACCGCATAACTTTTACCTCCCTTCAGCATGTTTTTGTGCGATGGTTAGCATCTTCCTTTGTCTTTTAGGTGAGACCACAGGTGCCTTTGTCGGTGCAGAA